ATGACAAGCAAAAGACCAGAGTATTCAATGCCCTTCTTGCATAAGTTTTCATTGGCAAAGCCTCTTCATGTGTCCAAAATGATTTGTGAAGGAGAGGGATGACAAACAGCAGGAGCAACAAGTGAGAATCTACCAAGAGAAGCCACATGTGACCAGATGGAATTCACCAAAGGATGCTGACATGACTATATGGCTGCTGCCCATCTTCAGAAGCTCACAAGGACAGCTTGGACAACTGGATGCTCTGTAAAAACTCAGTAAGTATAGGTTGGATGAATAAACTGTTAGATAAACAGAACAGTAGATGGACCGTTAGGTCAAAGAATAATAATCAGTGTTGTGATGGGCCATCTGGCTGCCAGTAATGAACAGAGGACCCCAGGGAATGACACAAGAGCTGATATTTTTCAGTATTTCCATCGGTCACCAAGCTGATGACACAGAGGACACTTTCAGCACATTTATAGATGGTAACAGATTAGAAGCGATGAGTTCCATCTCCATTTGGCAGAGCTGGTAGAGCTTCACTCCAGAAGGGCCTTGAGAAAGTTGGGATCTGGTGACTGAATTAACAGGGTGGTAAAGACAAGGGAGGGCACAAAAAGCAAAAGGTGGAATGTAGTGTTACATTCACGGAAGTGCCAGTTTCCTCCAGTGTTCTCCCCTCACCATGCAAGAGGATGATGCAGGCAGCAAGACAGCTCATTGCCCAGGTTAAAATGACTCAGTTCTGTTTCAGATCTTGCTTCTGTTTCACCAGCTTTTGTATCTGAGCCTCCCATTAACAAAAGTAAATGGACCCTAACATCTTCTAAGCAAGCTTGCTCAGAGATCCCTGAAACAATCAAAAGATGGGGAAAACAATTCATTGCATATTATGCATGGATTCTTGGAATTTTAGATATATTAGGCAATACCTCTATTTATTTATTGAAATTAGCCTAATTGCATGCATATTTATTGTCTGCTGTTCCTTAGTATCTGGGCAAATCAAAGCAGACTGTTTCACTACAGAGACAGCGATTTTGCATATAAAATACGGGCAGTTTTACATCAGACTAATAACACTATTCCATTATTCAGAACTGGAGTTAAAATTAGCAAGCATCTCAACAACCAGATGCATATTTTATCTGCAAGGTACAAGCCCAAATTAGCCCCTGCCTCCTACCAAAAGCCCATAATTCTCAGTGGGCTCTTCTATGCCAAGATCACTGACACGAGACAGGCACATCCTATTTTAGTATTAGAGGTACCCCAGGAGTTATCCTCCATCTGCATCCATTTGCTCTGTGTTGGAAAAGTATGCAAGCCTCCAAAGCTGACCTTTTATATTGCCTTTTAAGAAGAAATAAGTTCTTTACTTGCTGGTTCCTATTTCAGTGAAAATGCAGCCAAACCCACCTGCAGAGTTGTACTTGCCTGGGTTCACCCCAGAAGCATCAGTTGTGTCTCAGTGCTGTCCTTAACAGCTGTCCTCTTTCTCCTCAGGCTGGCCAAGAGCTGGGGAGCCCCTAGCAGAGAGCAGGCACTGTATCTCTCCCTCACACTAAATAAAAGCCTGATCCATTATTCTTGTTGCATGAAAACCACAGAACAGTCCTTTAGCAGATTTTTTCCTCCCAGCAGCTGAAAGCAACCCACCCACTTTCACCCAAACCAGCCTGATCACATCCGTTCTAATGTGCCTGCCACACATCCCTAGCTGCTGAAATCCTAGGGATTGCCGGTGCAGTGCTGCTGTTGCTGTGATTTCTCCATCATTTCTGCATTCCTTGGGCTCTTGCCAGTTCTGCCTCCCAGGATTAAGGAGCCATTGGGTCGTCCTTGTTTTAGAAAAGATGTGAGTGGCAAATCTGCCTGCTGAGTGTGGTTCAGCTGAAACCTTTTCCTAAAGGCTTCTGGAAGGCTTTGCAATAGGACCTTTTGCCTGATCTGGGGTATGTTTGCAGTGGGCCAGGGGATATCAGCTGCAGGAAGGGTGCTGTGATCCACCCGGCAAGCAGTGCTTGCCTTCCTCTTCCCATAGCTGAGCTGAGCTGAGCAGCAATATTTGCTGATACTGGCTTACCATCATGAGAGGAGATGCAATGTTTACCAGGACCATTTTCAACCCGAGCAAAGGATGTTTTCAGTAATGGGAAAAGAGTCAAATATCTTACAAGAGAAATATTCCAGCTTTAAGAATTTATTACCACTTCCCAGTAACGTGGGCTGAACTATTAAATAACCTTGCGCAATTTCCTGGACAGATACATTTTAATGGGAGTGTTGTGCACAGATCAAGGGTGAAACACTGCTCACCAAGCCCAGGCCCATGGGCAAAGCCCTTTGGCCCAATGCTTATCCAGCAAAGGACAGCGGATGCTGGGGGCTGCAGCAGTTCACAGCATCACACACCATGAGGCCTCTGGGTGAGGATTTCTGTTATGGATTGCTATCATCGATCCAGAGACTACTGCAATTATTGTGCCAACTTTTCTACATTGCTTTTCAGCTGTAAATGAAATATTGTTGGTCAGTGTGGCAGGTACTCAGTTTCTATACCTTTTTTCTCTATACCTTCTTTATAGTGTGGTAAAATGGGGTACAGCTGTTGTGCTCCACAATATGTGCTAGCATAGCAAGCCATGATAAGTACTTAGATATCTGATCCTGCTTCTTTCAGTCAGGAGCAATAAGCAATGAATCTGGTGAGAAAAATTCATAGACCAATTATATCAAAACCTTTTTCAATAAAAAGAAATCAATTTCTCCTTTTTTGTTTCTTATATATATACATGGAGAGAGGAAAGCGGATTAAGAGCAAGGCTGAGAATCAGTGGGGCTTTTTGAAAGCCTGAATTGTCACCTATTATCCAAAACTGAAGCTGATCTGCTATTCTGTGAGCTGTGTTCTAACTCGTAACCAACCTTTTGGGGCTGTCATTCTGGAGATATCTCTGCTGAATGGTCCATAAAGCCTTGGCCATTTCTGCTCCTCAGCCAAAGCTGGCACTCAGCTCTTGCCTATAGGGTCAGAGTGGTCCTTCTTGTCCGTGGTCCTTCTCATCCATGGACCCTCATCAAAACACACCACAGAAATACAGTGTGGATGTGCGGCACTGAAAACCACATGTGCCAAGAGGCAGTGAGGAACAGCCTGGTCCAGACTGCTGAACCAGGGCAGAAGGAAGAGGGAACCTCCACAAAGCTACATGTATGTAGCATCACCTTGGGATCTGTGGCTCCTGAATGGAATCACACAGAACAGGTTGGTGGCATCAGCTATTTTAAAATTTGTGAAGTCTTAAAGTATTGCTGAATGATTTCATTTCTGGGAGATAACTAGACAAAATAGCCCGACAGGTGGAGATGCTGATGTAGGATCAGCCATAATAGTGCGTGATTCCATCTCTGAAAACCCACTCATCCTTCCTACTGGGGGAAATTGCTGTGATTCTGCTCCATTGCAGAGGCAGTGGGAGGAAGGAGAGAGATTCATCCTTCCCTCTGATCACAAAGAAAGGCCAGGCCATGCCCTGCCATGCTCCTGAACCCACAATGGCTGCCTCCTGACCAAGCTGCCCTCAGTACCATGACCACATCCCCAGCTCCAGCTTCTCAGGAACAACAGACACCAATGTCAGTGCCCATTGCTCTTCCTCACTCTTGGACAACTGCAGTGACATGCAAGTCCACAGACAACACCAAGACTTAGCATATTGTATGGACACATAGGTGTTCCTCCAGTTTCAGGACAGTGAAGTTCCCCTTCAGATTTCCCTATGAATGTGTGTCCTGTGCATTGACATCAGTCCCACTAGGGCAGTATCCTTCCCATTAAGCACATACCCTGCTACTTACAAGCCCCCAGGTTAGAGTCCTGGACCTGGCAGAGCACATGTTATGATGAATAATCTTTCCAATGTATTCCAAGAAGTACTTTCACTTGTCCACCATGCTTTTCACTTGCCATTCCCTGCAGGTCTCGAGCTGCCTCCCTTCAGTCCTGTTTCCTTTGTAGGGCCCATATTTCACACATGCCCTGGGAAGGGTGTGGTGCTTGGGGCGATCAACCCCTTTGCAGAGTTCTCTGTGTATGCCCAGTAAGCCTTCCCATTCAGGGATTGCTCCACTTCCACATTTTCCATTCAGCATGGAGCAGTTTTATTTTTACCAACACATCACACATACTTCAGAGGCACATTTGAAGTGCAAAGCCCACGTTCTGTGCTTAGACAGCCAGCAAACTGTTACTGAAAAACACTCTGATCGGTGTAGGGCTTACGTAAAATCAGAGTATATAGTCTGACCTGTTTCCAAATGGCTAGGAAATGGCCCTGGAGAGGATAGAGATGTGATTCCCTCTAAATGAGCTATTTTCTCTAATGGAGCCCACACACCAGTCCCCCCAATTGCATTTCTCCAGAGAAAGCAGCAGCAGTCCCACACACACCTCCATTGAGGATTGCTCATCTTCATCCCATGGTGATGTGTGGCAGAGCCCCCTCCTGCTCAGCACTGGGGCCTGGGGCACTGTGGGATGGGTCTACAATGCAGCAGATCAGAAACCAGCATGCTGCTAAGTGCATGTCATTGCTCAGCTGATTGTAGGTGAAAGAAGGAGGAAAGATGATAACCGGAATTATTACAGACAGCTTTATCTTTTCATGTTTAATATGGCTTTTTTTGGCTTTTTCTTTTCCCTCCAAAGGCTGGCTGAGCATTTTATGAGTGCTACACCAGCACCATTCCCATTTTACAAGCAGGAAACCAATGCGCAGAGAACTCACTTGAGCAGAGCACAGCAGCAAACCCCAGCCCACAAGAGAGCAGAACCAAACCTCCTGGCAAATGCAAATTCCCTTCTCCAACCATCTCCATTCAGTTGCTATGCAGCATTTTCTCTCTTTTTCTTCTTCTTTTTTTTTTTTTTTTGGAAAAATAACCCGTCACAAACAAAAAAGAACAAGAAGGAAACCGCACGCTCCAACATACTTACTTCCATACCGTTGGCATTAGTACAAAAATAAAGATTTTTTTTATTATTTATTCACTAGCTTACAAAAATATAAAGTCTGTGGCATCCCCCTAGACCCAGACAGCAGCTCTATTTGACTCTGGGCGACAGCGCCTGCTTGAAGCGTCTCTTCAGGTCCTGCATGTTGGGGGAGCGCGGCCGCGGGATGACAGTGGGGCGGCGGCGCTCGGCGTGCTGCAGTTTGCTGACCTCCCGGCACAGGTATTGGAACACCTCGCAGACACCCTGCAAGCTCTCGCTGGTGGAGATCTCCAGGAAGAGGCTGCCCAGTTCGTTGGCCAACTGCAGCCCCTCTTTGGCCTGCACCTGCCTGGCGTGGAGGAGGTCCGCTTTGTTCCCCACCACGACGATGGGGATTCGGGCGTCGGGATGGAGCTGACGGATGTGCTGGTGGAGGGGACGGACCGCCTGGTAGCTGCCGGGGTCCGTGATGGAGTAGACCACAAGGAAGCCCTCTGCCCACTTCATGCACCTTGACAGCGCGTCCGGTGCCTGCACGCAGTCCTCCTGCATCTGTAGCGGGACACAGCCGGGGCTTGGCACGGGACTTGGTACGGGGCTGCGAGCACCCGGCCCAGCGCAGAGCCCTGCTAAGGGGGTTGAGCTGTATCCTGGGGGACTCGGCCCAGCTCTTTCCTTTTTAGGAAACAGAGGCTCATAAGCTGAGCTCTTGAGTGGCAGAGAATGCACTGTAGCTGAGCAAAGCACAGCGCAGGGCATCCCTTGAGCGGAGTGCAGCTCAGTGGGTAGCAGGAAAAAGGTCTGAGAGCTAAATATGCCCAAAACACGGCTTTGTGACCCTGTACAATTCAAGGGTTCTGAACCGTACATCCCGGCCAGTGGGGATGATCATGGGGAACCTCTGTGACCCCACCCCAAAGATTTTCGACCCCCCCGCTCCCCGATCCTCGCGGGTCTGGGCCGGAGCCGCCCGTACCTGGAGGCAACCCGGCGTGTCCTGGATGTGCACGGCCACCTGCTCCCCATCCAGCCGCACCAGGCGAGAGTACAGGCTGCCCGTGTTGGGCTCGTAGTCCCCGATGAAGCGCTTGGTCAGGAACCGCACGATCAGCGCTGAAACAGAGCGGCCGCATTAGGACGGAGGGATAGGGAGCACAGGGGCGGACAGAGGGAAGGACAGCCCGCACTCACCGCTCTTGCCGACGCCGCGGGCCCCCAGCACTGCCAGCCGCAGCTCGGCGCCGGGCGGCCCCGGGGAACACTCGGCGATGGGAGCCAGCAGGAAGGGCTGGGACATGCCCGGCAGGCGCATGGGGCCCGGCTCGTCCCCGATCGGCCCCGCTCAGCTCGGCAGCGCCCGTCTCGGCCCCCGCCGCCCGCTTTTAAAGGCTCCGCCGGCACCGCCCCGCAGCCGCCCCCGGCAGCACCGCACCGCCCACCGCCTCCCCGCGGCACCCCGCGCTCAGCGCTCCCGCCTCGCGGCGGATCCCGGTTGGGTCCGCCCGTTCCCGTAGCGCCCGGTGGGTGCGGACCCCAAGGACGCTGGAGAAGCCTGGGCAGCGATGCGGCCCGAAGCGGAGAGGCGGCTTTGGGGTTTCGGTGGGTTTGCAGGGTGTGGCTCCAGCCCAAGAAGTCACAGAATCATAGAATAATAGAATATCTTGAGTTGGAAGGGATTTACAAGGATCATCGAGTTCAGCTCCTGGTTCCCACAGGTCCTGCATTATGTGTCAGCTCTGCAGCTGGGCTCTCGAGTCATTACAAGGGAAATGATAGTCTTTTATCTCAGTTGTGCATCTGGATGCATCCCTCCGGTGTCAAAATCCCAAAGCCTGAAGTCCCAGCTTGCAGATCAGGAACTACCTAGCTTCAAACACTCCGCTTGACCCTGGGGTTTGACATAAGCTCTTTACTTTTCTGAAGGGAAATAAAGTTTCTGAGGAAAGTTGATCCATGCTGGGCCTGAGGTCACAGCCCAACAGGTAAAGGAGCCTCGAATCCACCAACAGCCCAAATCCCTGTGTAAACCATTGCCTTGGTACCCCCAACACATCCCTACAACACGACGCTTTGCAAGCATAGAAGTCTCGACAAGTTGAATATTTCATTCAAGGGATGCTTTATTTTTACTGTTACCAGAGAGATAACAAGCCAGCAGGAAACAACACAGAGGATGGCACTTCTTCACATGCCAGGCACTGCTGTCACCTTCCTCCCTGCAAGAGCACAACAAACACAACAACTACAAATCACACTGTTCTTGACTCTCTCATCCTCCCTTCTACTTTCTCCCTAAGCCCAAGCAAGAGCCCAGGTGCCATGTCTGCTCAGCACTTTTTTGGGAACTCCCAGCAACTCAAGAGCTCAGGGGAAGGCTGCCAGAGCAATGCCACCCACTCTGCCCTGCCATCACAAATGTGCTCCCAAGATAAGCCAACACCTGACACCACTGGGATGAGGATGGGGCGGGCTCCCTGCACCTCACAGCACCAACAGACCCTCAAAAATCCACATTCTATCCCACTTAAATTCTTCTTTTGTGGCTCAGAAACCACTTGGTAACAACGCTACTGCCCTGTACTGAAGGGCTACGTGTGATTCCCAGCAGTTAACACCATCAGTTAAAGCAGTCTGTCGAAGTTTGTTATTGTTTGTATTACTCCAGTGTCCAAGAACCCCTACAGGAGCATCAAGGCCATTTTTAGCCACAGACTGCTTCTGAAATCTCTCCATCAACACTCCCCATCATGCAGTTTCCCTTTCATAAACAAGGTTTCTCCTCTATCACTAAAAGCTTTTAGTTTCCAGTGGTTCATGCTATTGTCATCTGCTCCCATTGTCATGCACCACCTCTTGTCTTTGGCCTTGTGCACACTGCAAACACAGCCTATTTTTAAACATTTCTTTATAAAAGAGCTATCAGGGTACATCCAGCACGCCCTTGAAAGAACAGCATTAAAATGAGTCCATTCGAAGCTGAAGATTGCCAGGTGCTGAGCAGTGAGAGCAGCAGCACTAAACATCATCCCCAAAACCTGAGCTCCTTTTGTTCCTGGCCAGTTGCAGAGCTCAGGGTGTTCTGCCCAATGTCAGCACCCCAAAGGACAAGGGGTGACAGTCACACACTGCTGTGACTGCACAAACCAAGGCAGAACACACCTTGAAGCAACTTCTTGCCACGGCCAAAGCCGTTTGGGCTCAGATTGTTCACATGACAGCTCAGATCAGCAGTGTTCGCAGACCAAGCACTCCTGCACTCCTTTTGATATATAGGCTTCAAATCCATTCCAAGAAATCTCATTTCTCAGCTGCAAACCCTACTTGGCAGCACCACTCCGTACTGCTCCACACAAGATGTCCCATACCACCAACCTTACAGTCTCTGTAAGGTCTTTCATACAAAGTTGTATTCCCACCCCAAGCTCCAAGGACTTCTGGCCTTGAGCACCCCCAGGAATGGCAGCTACAAGCTCTGGGCTTGGCTGGCAGGGCTATGTTGTCTTGAGGATGCGGGGCAATGAGCAGCAGCAACAAAGCTTCCCCATGTGCAGGACCACTGGTGAGAACCTCTGTTGTGAGCTAGCACGCCTTCACTGTGCCCCAATGAGTTTTCAGTAGCACAAACCCACATTTGAGCGTGGCTTTGCCTCCCACTCCTCAATCTCCATTGGTCAGTGGCTGGCCAGTTTGGAGTAGGCATGTGCAAAATGGTCACTGCCAGCTTGAGGACTACCACCCAAAGCCAGACAGCAGAAAATGAAATCAGGAGCTGCACCCAGAACTTGGCAGTTTCTGGGTTCCTGAGCTGTATGGGTGCTGAGGATGGGAGCCACATCCCTAGTCAGTGCTTGAGCCAGGACAGTTACGAGTGCGCAAAACCCACCAGTTGCAACTTGATTCTTAAATAGGCATAGGTACCTTTTTCACACATAAGGGCAAATCTGCAGCCCCAGAGTGCCATTGCACAGTGGGAAACACCAGCAGCACTCCTGAATCAGAAGGTACTTCCCACACAAATGGCAAGCCCAGCTGAACCGTGTCCTTCCTCCACACACCATGACTTATGGGAGCTCTCCACACCTCTCTGCACAGGCACATGGGAGCACCTGTGTTGGGATAGTCAGGATCACATCCTCCAACAGGTGTGGTCACAGCTCTTTGCACCCTCTGGACCAACTGGGGCCATCCCAGCACAGTACCCATGCAGGATACCATACTTCAGATTATGATGCTGATGCAGACTGGATCAAGGACAAGACAATGTATGTCAGCATTTCCTTCCATCAGATTCAGTGGGAAGACTACAGAAGCATTCATTCGTGTGTCCTTGTGACAGCTGCCTACCTGCCTACTCCCAGGAATGGGAGGCATCTGCATTTTCCTCGCTCCTCAGGCACAGATTCTCTTCCCCAGTCCTTTCTGCCCTTTCACTGACCGTTCCCACTCACATAAAGCACTACCAGCACTAACACTGCCTACACAGCCCATAAGAAAGCTCAGATCTTGGCATGAGTGATGATGAAGGTGACAGCTCAGGTTTTCCTGCCTCTCTTCTGAGTATGCAGTAGTTCAAGGCAGTAAGGACTGACACACCTCAGCCCTCACCTCTGAATTAGGCTGCCTGGTGTGCACAGCACCACACAGAAGCATAACAGCCTGTGCTGATCCACGAGCACTCCACTCTCCACGTGTTGTACAAGGGTAGTGTGACCACCAGCTCCAGAATGTAAGTCTGAATTGTCTGCATAACTGAAATTGCACTAGCTCAATTATCAAAGAAATCTATAGCTTTGCAATCTTCTCCAGAAAGTTTTCCAAAACCACTGTGGAATAGAACAAAATTCACTGAAGTCTGTTCGATAAGCATCTGTAGCTGCCACACAAGGCTGCATGGCTTTGCTGGGTAGGCAAGCTTCAGAACAAGAGAGCTATCTGCTGATCACAGCACGTGGGTCTAATCCATAGCACCCCAGCAGTAACAAAAAGGCAGAACCTACAAACCCATGACAAGGTTAAGCCTTTGCCAGTCTGTCCTCCCAAACATCCCAGCAAACCCAAAAAGGCTCTCTTCCTTTGCAAACCCAGTTTCATTTTCCATCACTTTGGGAAATGCAGACTAAGGAAAGAAAGCATACCCTCCTGCACCTCCCAGCTCAAAGATTCCAAACAGACACTCATGAGCAGCTACTGCCTGCACAGCAACCTTCAAAATCACCAAGATGAAGTGGAAAACTCCAGAAACACAGCTCTCATATATGGCCTCTGCATACTGTCTATTCCTATTATTCCAAGCTGCTGAAAGAAATTCAGAAGTTTAAAACTACCCAACACTCATTCATGGTTGATCATATTCCCATCAGGATGCTACAGCAAATCCACTCCAGTCTTCACAGTAAAGTATAAAATAACTCACACAAGTATGCATCGGGGAAAACAGATGGAAATACCATCCCCAAAGAGCATTAATGCATCCCATTTAACTCTTACAGACACAAAGCCTAATGGAAAATGCCCACCTTACAAGTCAAACATTTATTTTAGATTGCTGTGGAAGCTCCCAAGCCAAATAAGGCTGATAACCATCTATGGTTCAATATATACATCCAACTGCTCCAAGACGAATGTGTTTGTTCATAAAAGCTGAGTGCATAAAGCAGCAGCAAAAGTTAGGAGCCTGCTTCCTTCAGGTGAAGGCAGCACACTCCACATCTAACATGCAATGTCAAAGTACAACTGACATCCTTCATCAGCACATGAAGGGGTAAGACTTGTCCCATCTTCATCAAGGCTCTTTAAGCAGATTCTTCTAAACTAAACTATTTACAAATGCATATTGACTCTGGGACATTCTAAAAATCCTTTTACTGGCTACAGTGGTGAAACAACTGTCTTCCCATAGCCATTTCTCAAGAAGTGCTTTGAAAAAAAAAAAAAATTTCCCCAATTATTCCTCAGTATTAAACTGAGGCCCTTTAGCCAAAAACTCCTATTGATGGTATGTGAAACCACCTGTTTTCCCACTAAAAAAAAATTAAACCTTAAGAGACACTGTACAGTTCTTGCTATTTGCTCTCAGTTCGCCGGTGAAATTATTCCATATCCTCTCATATTACCTCACTAGGTAATCAAAGGAGGATGATCATCATTGAGCAATAGCAAATGTCAGCATCCCCACGGTTTATGGTCTACAAAAATGACTAACCTGATGAGCAAAAGGCGCCGATGTTTTTAACGACCAAGCACTATGCAATGCAAGCTAAAGAAATAAGCTTAGAAAAAGTTTTCTAATAATCCGTTTTAAAAAAGACTTCAAAGGAATCAGCCACAATCACATACGCTTGTCCAAAAACAGATCTTTAATTTATTTTTCAAATG